GGTGTCCCAGACTCATATATTCCCAACACTGGCCCTGCAATCAGCCATTTCTCCAAGGAACCTAGGTTATTTTAGTGAAAAATTGTATTTATAAAGCAAAATCTGGGTGCTAGATGTGATCATTGCTACTAGAATATCACTACTTTGGGCCTCTGTACACACACACAAACCTGTTCTCTCTCTTTCTTGTCATATGGATACCTCCAATTCCAATCCCACAACATAGGATTCCTTCTAGTCATCCCTCTCTTTATGTTTATACCTCCTTTCTTTCACAGTGAGAAACACAGCTCCCTAATCCGCAGCATATTTATGTATTTCCTCAACCTTACAATACACAGAAAATAATTTTGGGATTGCTGGCCCATACCACTGTGAAAAATGAATCTACTTACTAGAGTTTAACACTTGCTTATAGTGTTTTTTGCCTTTAGCCTAAGGGTGTACACTCAAATGTCTGTGATCAAAAGTAGTTGGATTATGTTGTTAACTTCATTTGCTTGGATTATGTTATTAACTTCATTTGGTTTGGTTCATTTGCTTTGGTTTATATTACATTTCAGGGTTTTTAAAAATCTCTCTTATTTTTTTTTGAATGCATGAGCTATGCTTCCAATAGCCAGAGCTATACAAAAAGTATATTTAGATAAATGCCATTCCTCTATACTTTCAGTTTCTACCCCAACCTTTTATCTTTTTCACCCTGTACTCACCCATCCCCTATTGGTAACCAGTTTCATCAGTTTCTAGGTTAATCTTGTGTTTCTTCTTGGAAAAATGCTCAGATAAGTGTATATTTTCTTATTTCTCCCGATCTCTTTAAAAAAAAATATACTGCATATTCTCTTGTTCACCTTTTCTTTTCCATTTAACAGAATATCCTCGAAATCACTCCATATTAATTCACAGAGATCTTCATTTCTTTTTAACACTGCATAGTCTTCCATATGTGGATTTGCCATAGTTTATTCAATCACTTTGTTATGAATGAGCAGTTAGATTAACTTCAACAACAATTATATGTTTCTAATAGAACTATATACAATGGGTAACTGTGTATATATTAATATATATGCATATATGTTCTTATTTGTTGGAGGTATATATTTAGAGTAAATTTCTAGAGCGGGATTGCTGGGTCAGGAGGTAAACACATAGGTAGCTTTGTTAGATATTGCTAAATGACCCTTCAAAAAATTTGTACAAATTTGCATTTTTATCACCAGTATATGAGAGTCTGGCTTCAACCCATTCTCACTAACAGAATATGTTGTCCTACTTTTTATTTTTTGCCAGCCTTATTAGATAAGAAATGGTTTCTCAATGTCATTTTTATTTGCATTTCTGTCATTATGAGTCAACATGGATATCTTTTCAAATGTACCTTTTGTGTGTGTGAATTGTCTATTCATGTCTTTTGCCCATTTTTCTATTAAGATTTTGATTTTCTTTTCCCTTCAATTATTTAGAGTTCTTTATATGTTAGGATTATCACCTCTTTATCTGTGACATATACTGCAAATACTTTCTCCTAATTTGTCTTCTGCCTTTTGTTTTTGGCTGGTGGTGTTTTGTGTCATGCAAATGTGTTGTTATTTTTTTAATCTAACCAATTTACCAATCTTTTCTTTTTTTTTTTTTTTTTTTTTTTTTTTTTTTTTTGAGATAAAGTTTCCTTACAAAGTCTTTCCTACATTTGAGGTAGCGAGGAATTCACGCTTGCTTTCTTCTATCACTTGTCTGGTTTCATTTGCTTACATTTTTATCTCCTGATCATTTGGAGTTTATTCTTGATAAAAAAATTTTGGGAGTTTTATCTTTTTCAGGTGCTATGTAACTGTACTAGCACCTTTTATTTAAAAGTCTCGTCCTTATCTTTGGAGCTGTTCCTTTATCATATTACAAAATTTCTTATGTATTTGGCATCTCTTTTTTGGACTTTCTATCCCATTCACTGGTTTATCTGTCTTTTACCTGCTAGATCTGCACGTGTTTAATTATACAACTTTTTAGTATGTGATTAATATCTGATAGCGGGCTAATGACTCATAGCTTTTCTTTCTGTTTTCAATTTATTTCTTTTTTTTTTTTTTTTTTTTTTTTTTTGAGACGGAGTCTGGCTCTGCCGCCCAGGCTGGAGTGCAGTGGCCGGATCTCAGCTCACTGCAAGCTCCGCCTCCCGGGTTCACGCCATTCTCCTGCCTCAGCCTCCCGAGTAGTTGGGACTACAGGCGCCCGCCACCGCGCCGGCTAGTTTTTTGTATTTTTTTTTTTAGTAGAGACGTGGTTTCACCGTGTTAGCCAGGATGGAATTTATTCTTGCATGTTTATTTTTTCCATACAAACTACAGGTTATCTAACTCCATGAAAACTTGTTGATATTTTTTCCATTACAATACATTATATTACATTACATTAATGTGATCTCATGTAATGTAATGAGATCACATTAGATTTATAAATTAACCTGGGAAGAGTTGACATCTTTATAATGGTGAATTGTTCTATCCCAGAACAAGAGCAGTCTTTCCATTTGTTCAAGTCTACTCTTGTGTCTTGATAGTGTTTTAACTTTTTCTTTATAAAAGTTTTGCACATGAACCATTAAGTTTATCTCTTTTATTTTCTTTGTTGTCATTCTAAGTGGGGCTTTGTCTGTGATTATATTCTCTAAGTGGTTATTGTTTTGTGTGTATAAAGGCTGTTGATTTCTATATGTTAATTTATATCCTGTTATTATATTTAATATTTTTATTATTTGATATAATTTTATTACTGATTCTTCAGTTATGTTTTCATAGTATCTGCAAGTGGGGATGACTTTACTTTTTACATGATTTCTCTTACACAACTGTATTGGCTGATACTTCCAAGGCAATGCTAAATAGTATTGAAATTATTATACACACATATACATATAAATGTATAATACATATATTATATATTTTTTCAGCATGTTAAGAAAGTATTCATCATTTCCTACTTTCTTCATTGCTTTTATCAGGAGTAGATACTGAATTGTGTCAAAAGCTTTCCAGCATCTGTTAAGATAATTATTTTTCTCCCTAGATTGGTCAATTTAATGTTTAATAATGGATTTCCTTATATTGAGCAGACTTGCATCCTGGAATACATCTCACTTGGTCATGGTGTATTATTTTCTTAGTGTATACTAATCTTAAATAATTATCAAAGCTCTATGGCAGTGTCATTCAAAAACAATATCCCCTAGGGAACTTACTGAATTGATTTCTGCTGAATCAGAATTCTGGGAATAGTCACAGGAATCTGCTTTTAACAAGTTCCATAGAGGTGGTCTTCATGCACTCTGAGAACCACTGGTCTACTATATTGTTCAATGTGAATTTTAATGGAAATTACTATAAAAAAATACTTAACTTTAGCAAAGGACTTGCTCCATGATTCCTTTGAAAAGCTGCTTTGTATCTTAAACTTATAAATTCTAGATCATGATCCAGCTGTAGGAGAGTAGATGATACAGAGAAATTAAAAGGTAAAATATTTTTTAGTTTCAGCTGGCACACATTTATTCAGCTTTTTTTTTTTTTTAGCACTGTGAATGGATAAGAATACCAAGATGTGTAAGATCCAGTTCCTGTATAACAGTAGAATAAATTGAGGATTACATAAATATTTGTAAGATACTAGGCATTATGTTAGAAACGTTATCCAGGAATTTTATAGGTCTGAGGGGCTTAATAAAGGAATTGGATCAGAAAATACTTAAAAAAGGAGGTGATTCTTCAGATGAAGCATCTTTCCAATATAACATTAACAAATAGGGGAACAAGTTGATTGCAAAAATCTCATTTACATGAAACTTTTTAGAAATGCATCTCGTACACACGATGCACTAGTATACCAACATTTCAACTCTCATCAAACGCAGCTATACAACATCACTCATATGTATATGAGGGGAAAGCTATCTCTAAATGCAGGCATCTCTGTACGTAACCTATGAATGGATTTCTTTCCAAGATACCCAAACTTCATAGAAACACTGAATAGTATCAGTAGCAAAATAGAAACCATCAGTAATAAATGGAAACTTCAGTAAATGGGAGATGAACTGCCACCTTTCTATGCTTCGAATTCTCTTAAAGACAAAAAAAAAGACCAAAAAAAAAAAGTATGTTCTCTTGATATTAGAATTTGTGATGGTTTGGTTCCACTCCATTTATTCTTGGTATCAGACTTTGCTTATCCAAGACAACTGCTGTGTGGGAGAAAGACCGTAAAATCCTGTGACTAACACTCACACCAGGGGTCATGATTATGAGCTGGCTTAGTATGGAATGCATTTCTTCTCATCATGTGAATGGCCCCCACGTGATGAGATGGAGGGCAATATTTTAAAGTACAAACCTGGTGCTGCTTGCTCTGAAGAAAATTCTAAGTCTAATGTTGTAAGGATTCTTCTATTTCCTAATTTTAATGATCTAAAGGGAGGAATGGTTTTTCATTGCCAATATTTTTATTTACCCAATGTCTGCAGAATTTAACTGATGCTTCATGCTGAATGTGCTACAAATGATGTAGCATCAGGTGGTTTGTCACACACCTTGCATCTGATTCAAACTGCAGCAAGTGTCAAGCAGGATAGAAGCAAATGTCACACTGAAGTCTTGGTTAATCTATTCTGGCTCAGCGTTCACCATCACTCTTCAGTAGTTAACTCATCAAATCATTGAAATAAAATGTTCATATTTGAATAGCTTTTTGGATTGCCTTAGCAAAGGGAAGACAGAAAACACTTCAGTTAAAAAAATATATATATATAGCCATTCAGATTGACAATATGAAATTCAGATACCAAAAATAAATCCTGGATGAATTCTGAAATAGAAAAAATATACATATAATATACAATCTATTCTGAACAATCTAAGTAGTATGTTTTGAGAAACAATAAGATTTAATGTATATTTATTGAGCTTGGTCACATTAATTTTAATAATTTCTTTTTAAATTTGCAGTTGGCAATCAGTGGATAAATTACATATCATTCTGTGGTCTTAGAACACATGCAGAGCTCGAAGGAAACCTAGTCACCGAGCTTATCTATGTCCACAGCAAGTTGTTAATTGCTGATGATAACACTGTTATTATTGGTAAGTACAGTATATGGTCTATTATTGTATTCCTTGCCAGTTGACTTACCCCATGCAAAAATGTTTGCTGCGATTCCTCCTAAGCTTCCTTTGCATTTGAAAGAGATAGTAACATCATCTCTAAAACATTTCTGAAGCTATCCTTTTCTCTTATGTCCTTTCTAACCCATCTGTTGAAATTGTTATAGATACAGAATAGGTGTATATATTTGTGGGGTACATACGACGTTTTGATACAGTCATACAATGAGTAACAATCACATCAGGGTAATTGCGGTACCCATCACTTCAAGCATTTATCATCTCTTTGTGGACTAAACTATTTTTATTTATGAAGAATCAGAGGTACAGAGCAATTAAAGGGACTTCGTGAAAATTGCAGCATCCAGGGGCAGCTGTTTAGCCCAGCAGTCCAATAATGTGCCAGATTTCACTAATTCTTTATTACTCCCTTATTTTTTTTTAATTTTTAAAGCTATTTTTGAGATGGGAGTCTCGCTGTGTTTCCCAGGCTGGTCTCAAATGATTCTTCTACCTCAGCCTCCTGTGCGCTGGGATTACAGGCCTGAGCCACCACACCCGCCTATCCCCTTATTTTTATTTACAATCCAAGTGCCCAGATTTCAGGGATTGGTGGGGGGATAAATGAGGAGGGAAAGTGTATCTTAAGTGAGTACCTTGTGGTAATTCGTGTTTACACTACATCCACCTAACCATTACCACAGATCTGAAGTTGTACAAAAGTCGAAATCAGAGGATGGTAAAGTATTGCTGCCTCTATGCATGCCATTATTTTTCCTAATATGTATGTTTTGCATGTCATTAATTAGGATGTAGAGCAGTCCAACTTTGTTGATGTGCGTGGGTGAAGTGGGTATTGTGTACTAATGGTGGGACGTAGCCCTACACTAAGGTCTGCAGTCTTTTCTTGTCAAGGATACACAGAGGATTTTTCCAAAGGTCTCTTCCCACTGACAGATTCAGGAGAGTTACTCTCCTAAATAACTTGTACATTCTACCTGAATTAGATTAGCTTGATCAGAGAGGTAGATGTTCAGCTTCCTTCTTTTATACACACAGAAAGCTTCATTCTTCCATCATTGAATTATTTTGACTTCTAATATTAATATTGTATAAAATGCATATTGGAAGTCCAGGATGACAGAGTATAAATAACCAACGAGATAAATGAGGTAACCAGTGAGGGGCATGTTATTTAGAGAGATGATATCTCCCACTAATGGGAATTCTGCTCATCTGTTTCAAATAAAATGTAGTTTATCAGCTTGAATAAGATACGTTCCTGTTATTCAAGAAACTAAATGCCATGGAGTATTTTGAAAATTTTGGACAATAAATGTGCTTTCTATTCTCCACCGAGAAAAGGAAAAATATCTCATATCTGAGAGTAGTAAGACTGTGTTATCTGGAACATGATTTGAAGAGAAAAGAAACAGTTCTAAAGCCGAAAACGGTGTAAACCACAGTATGGTGAGATACATACACACACCACACACACAGACACACACACACACACGCACAGACACACACACTTTTAATATTTGTATAGCACATCAAAATAATATTGTTCTTTTATCTCCTCGTCTATAGCCAGAAACTGTGTAAACCACAGTATGGTGAGATACACACACACACACACACACACACACACACTTACTTTTAATATTTGTATAGCACATTAAAAAGTATTGTTCTTTTATCTCCTGGTCTATAGGGATAAAAGCTCTTTAGGAGTTTATGTTTTTCCCCCACTTGCACTAATACACAAGATTTCATTTATTTCTCCTGAACTCCTCTGACTTGCTCTTCAAAAGCAAACCTCAGATTACTTTTGAATTAAATTTGACAATGACAGTAAGAAATAAAAACTATTGATGTTTCCTGAAATAGAAAAATGAAAATAAACAAAGCCACATGTTTCTTCACCAAGATTTCAGAAGCCTTGAAGTAAAAACTGACAGATGTAAATATTTTTTTGAAAGGTCATTTTGACTTTCAGCCTCGTTTACTTTACATGAAGTATAAATACAAATTAGTTTTCGGTAACAGAGCTAACAGTTAAATAAATTTGTTGAGGTTTTTAATTGACTTATTTTCTGGAAAAGTCTCTAAACCCTCAAAGACTCCAATTTATTTTGTTTAGCAATACTTTATCAATTTTGCACACAATTCTTACACATTCTCTTGAAACTGAGGATGTGGCCCTGGGAGTCTAAAGAGGTCTTACTTGCTAGTCCTTGGAGGCTGAATTCCTTTTTTCCTTCCCCAACTGCCTTAGAGAATCGATTTCTCCCAAGGAAAAAAATCCAAAGTTTCTTTTGTTCTTTTTATCTTGGTGGAAACTCAAGAATAAGCAGGTTTATTGTTACTGTTCTAACACATTCACCCTATTTAAGTTCCTAACAGAGAAAACAGTATTTAAAATTCTCAGAGAGGAATTTGAGAAGTTAGTTTGAGAATATTTTACAGGTGTTAAGCAAGAATTTAAACATTTAAAGGAGATTTAAGTAATGTATGATTGATTTTTCTTCCATGGCAAACTTATGCCAGAAAGATTGAGTAGCTGACATAAGAAAAATGACCGTTTATCTTCATTTTAGTCCTCATGAGGAAATATTTGTTTTCTCACACTGAAGATCGCTTTTGTGCATAGCTTTAATTGCCTGTGGCCCAGGGTAACCCTGCTGGTCATGAAATCTGTGACCAACTCCAGTTTTCTTACCCATCTTAATTTTAGCCTTTAACCAGACACACATTTATTTGGTTTCCTAAACAAAGCCAAGCTACCCTTCAAGTAAAATTTAAGCCTATCCTGATGACTAAGTGAAATCGTTGTTTTTAATGTTCACTAACCTGCTGCAAAGCACAATAGAGAGATGCGAAACGTGAATAAAACAGCGCCACTGCCCTCTCAGAGATCACGGGCTGGAGGAGAGGCAGCTACTCCTTCCATATGAGAACAGAAACACTAGGATGGACGTGGCCGAACCGGAACAAGAAGGTTCAGGGGCAATCAACAAGTATGAGTAGGAGGAGAAACTAAGTCGAGGTCATGAGTCTCAGGATTTAAAGGGCAGGCTTCACTGTGGCAGATGAGAGTCTGGAATTGAAGGGCTGCCCCAGTAAAGAGGGGGATATTTCCTCATGTCTGCAATTTACTTTTAAATGGATCAAAACAAAAATAGGAATTGACGATGGATACAGGGATGAAGTGGTATACCAATGCCTGGTTCTTATTTTTAGAATTTATGATCTAGTTGGTCTGGTTTGGGGCCAGGCATCTGGGTTTTTTTGGTTTGGTTTTTGGCATCGGTATTTTTAAGAAGTTTCCTTGTTAGCCTTCCTAGGTAATGCTCATGTGTGGTCAGAGCTGAGAACCTCTGACCTGGAGGCAAAGGAAATACAAGTAGGTAGAAAAGACAGAGTCGCCCAGTGTGCTCAATAGAAGAACCAGTTTTCCTTTAAAACAAACTAAAACGGGGTAGAGTTGGTGCGTTCGTTTTCCATTACTGCTGTAACAAATGACCACAAACTTAGTAGCTTAAAACAATACAAATTTATTATCTGACACTTCAGTAGGTTAGGTTTAGTAGGTTTAGTCTTGTGAGTCCCACAGGACTAAAATCAGAGTGTGAGCAGGGCTGTTGCATTCTTTTAGAGGCCGTTAGGGAGAGTCCATTTCCTTGCTTCTAGAGGCTGCCCACATTCCTTGACTCATGGCCCCTTCTTCCACCTTTAAAGTCAGCAACATTCTATCTCTGAAAAACCCCCAAAAGTCTCAACCCATTCTTCTGTAATCATAACTCAGTCTGATTCCCTTTCACTTTTACAGACCTTATGATTGTATTGGGTCCACCTGCATAATCCAGGCTGCTCACCCTATTTTTAAAGTTAGCTGATTAGCAACCTTAATTCCATGTGCAGCCTTAGTTCCCCTTTGCCATTGAACATATATTCACAGTTTTTGGAGATTTGAACAGGGACATTTTGGAGAGCTCCTATTCTGCATACCACACAAGGATTCACAATTTCTGAGTGAGACACACAAAACAAGTACAAACCACAAAGGAAAGGAAAGATAAATCCAGCTGCATTAAAATTCAGAAATTTCTTCATTAAAAGTACTGTAAAGGGGAATAAAAAGATAAACCACAAACTGAAATATTTGCAACCCATTTAATATACAGAGCACATAAAAAACTCCTATAAATCAATAAGAAAAAACAAATGTCCAAAGAAAAATGGGCAAAGCAATTGTATAGGAACTTCACCAAAAAGAACATACCCAAGCCCCATAAGCATATGAAAAAATGTTCCTTCTCATTAACATGAGACAAATAAGAGTTTTTAAAAATACCAGACTGGCAAACATTTAAAAGTGGGGCAGTCTGAGGATTGGCATGGCTGTGGAGCAATACAGACTCCCCTCCACGGCTGTTGGGAGTATAAGTTGGAAACATTCTGGCGTTACCTAGTAAAGTCATACATCCTGCAGCTTAGCAACCCACACCTACATACAGAGCCTTGGAAACTCACACATGTCTGTACCGAGAAACAAATACACAACTATGTACAGCAGAATTGTGCATCACTGCAAAACTCTGGAAGCAACCCAAACATCCATCAATAGCAGAATAAATAAAGAAATCCCTAGTATGTTCATTCAAGGAAAAGAAATGCATTACAATTATGTACAGATAAATCTCAAAGACATAATACTGAATGGAAGAAGCAAATCTCAAAGGACTATCTGCTATATGATTCCATTTATATAAATTAAAAACAAGTCAGAAATAAACTCTTCCTTTTGTTGTTTAGGAAAACATTCAGAGCATGATGAATACAAAATTAAACATCAAGTCTTCCTCTTGGGGAGGGAAGAGTATGCATGGGAAGGTGCACAAAGCCTTCTGGGATGTGGTAATATTGTTTTTGGCCCGGGTAATAAATTCAGTGATGACTATTTTATTATTGCTTAAGTTTTACACACATGGTTTCATATAGCCTTTTGTATTTTGCCATATTTCACAATTTTTAGACTGTTTTCTAATAGCAGACTAGGTCGTATAAACAACAAGGATGTTTATAGAGTAAAAGATCAAAACTCCCCTTATTTTCTTCTCTCTCTTCACTGAAAAGCACCTACTATTTTTAACAGTTCAGTGTGTATCTTTCTAGATCTCTTGTTCTGTCTTCTTCCTCATATGTTATATAAAAATAGGGTAATACTACAACTGTTGTTCTGAATTTGATTTTCAGAATACAGGAACGAATGGAGGGAGCATTTACATCCGTCATAGCTTATTATATCTAATTTATTCATTCATCTAAAATTTTCTCATTTCTTTCTTCACATGCCTATTAAATAGTAGCCAACACACTTATTTAATGTGGTGAAGAGTCAGTGCTCTGAGTAACTCCATTTTGGCCCTTAAAATACAAGAACCACACCCTCTGTCTAATAATTCCAGCTCAGAACGCTGGGAATGTGGGGGCTCACCATGGTGGGAGAGGAATGGGGGTGGATGGGAGAGTGTGTGTGTGGAGGGAACTCTCCAGGCTGGCTCCCATCCCGGGTTCTCCTGACCCTAAACAAAGCAGTGATGTCAGTTCAGTCCAGCAGTCCCCGCCTGACAGCGGCCTCTGCTGGCTCCAGGGGCACAGTGACAGTCCTAAAGTAGCACTATGGGTTCCTACAGTTCACACATGGGGCGATTAAGCCAGAGAGGAGGCTTCTTTAAACAAATGCTACATTCCATCAAATGGTCAGTTCCTATGGCAGCGTTCTCCGGTGCAGATATTATAGAGTTAACAAGGATCTGATGATAATGCCTGTAATAATTAACATTTGTAGAGCAGCTTATAAATCATTAAGTGCTTTCACATGGTCTTACTTAATTCCCACAACCACCTTACAAGGTCTATATTATTCTCTCAATTTATGAAAGATTATGTTAAAGCTGAGAAAGATTAAGTGAATTGCCCAAATTAATGTTGGGTCAACTGTCAAGCTCAAAGATATAGCTGCAAATTTTATAGCATAACCACGATGTAAGTATATGTATAAAGGATGGTTTGTTGCTAACAAAACAAAGGGTTTCAAAGGTTCCCACTTTTCAGCACTCCAGTAGCATTCTCACATTTCTGTAGGGTGCTCAATCCTTTCTGTGTTACCCAGGGCACCATGGGGCACCACTCACATCCGTAGTCATCACAGCTTTATGTATTAACTACGTGACAATATTCTGGCAAAAGGCAGTAAAGTCTCTTCAGGAAAGGGCAGCTTGTCTCATTCATCTCATCCTTTGAGCTCTGGCAGGGCTGCTGTCACCTTATAGCTCTGGCTGCTCCAGTGAGAGGGCCTCCGGGATGCCTGTTCAACCTGACTCTTCTGCTCCACGTCTGAAGAAGCAGTGGAGTTGTTGCAGCTAGAGCAAGAGGAACAAGAATAGTCAGGCCCTTTCTGTCGTTTGTAGGACACCTCAAGGATTCAAACGTGTGAATCTGCAGAGATTAATGCAAAAAAAAAATGTGATGAGGTTCCTGAATACACAGCAGACGACTGCAGAAAGTACAGATTGAACTAATAGCAAAATATTTGCCCTTCATATGTGAAAGTCAACATTCTCAGCTCATTTGGATTTAAAAATAAAATAGATTCCTCAAATGAACAAGGTATTGAGCTAATAAAGAGAATTAATAATTTTAAAAACTAGAATGGAGGAAAACTGATACAGAAGCTATTGGCATGCTACACAAGTGAGGGAGGCAAGAAAGCAGAAAGCTCAAAGCCACAAAAGACAATCTGTATTTGAGATTATACTCTATTGATTATGAAGGTACTCTTGAGTTTCGACATTCACAGTTATGTGACTATGAGTTAAAGTCTACAGAGAGCCTGATTCTTAACTCCAAAAGCAAAGCCATCTTTCCTACTGAACTGGTAGGCATGCCTTTTTTCAAGTGCTTGATGATTATATCAGTTAGAATCTTTTGTGCCACAAGAGAGAAAACTCAACTAGAAAAAACAAAAAAAGAAAAAACTCAACTAGAAGTGTGTGAAACAATAAGGAACAATGTGCAAAATAAATTATTTCACATAACAGAAGGTAAGAATATTCAAAGGTTGGCTAACTGAATGACTTAAAGACCCAGAATCTTCCTTCTTTTTTAATTTTTGTTTTTCTGTTTGTTTAGAGATGAAGTCTTGCTCTTTTGCCCAGGCTGAAGTGCAGTGGTGCATTTATAGCCCACTGCAGACTTGAATTCCTAGACCCAAGCAATCCTCCTGCCTCAGCATTCCGAGAAGCTGGGACTACAGACACACATCACTCAGGCACTGACCACACTCAGCTAATTTTTAAAAACTTTTTGTAGAGACCAGGTCTCGCTATGTTGTCCAGGCTGGTCTCAAACTCCTGGCTTTAAGCGATCCTCCTGCCTTGGCCTCTCAAAGCGCTGGGATTTCAGACATGAGCCACCATGCCTGGCTCTTTTTTCTGCTTAGCATTTTTTTTAAAGCTTTTTTGTTTGTTCTCTAGTGGTTGTAAAATGACTGCAGCAGCTCCTGGAATCATGTCTTCTTCCAATCCTTCAAGCCAAAATATCCAAAGGATGGAAGAGACAGAATCCATTTTTTGTGTGTTTATACAAAGGGGAAACTCTTTCTCAGAAGCTTTCCTTCATGTCACATTGGCTAACACCATGTCAAGAGCCCATTTCTAAGCCAGTCACTAATAAAAATAATGAAATTACCATGGCTGGCTTAGACTGATTAAGATTCACCCCTGGGTGAGGGAGGGCCCCACCTCCCTAAAAACACATCTTCCCTTGATAACCTGGACAAAATTACGGTTTTGTTAGCAAGGACCAATTGAGTGGGGAGGGCAACCAACAGTGTCTGCGAGGTCAGGAAGGTCGTTCAGCTTCGCTGTTTCTCCTTACAGGCTCTGCCAACATAAATGACCGGAGTATGCTGGGAAAGCGTGACAGTGAAATGGCTGTCATTGTGCAAGATACAGAAACGGTTCCTTCACTAATGGGTGGAGAAAAGTACCAAGCTGGCCGGTTTGCCCAAGGACTTCGGCTACAGTGCTTTAGGTCAGTCCGCCAAAGTATGTCTCTCTGATGTATTTCCACTGCAGCGGTGGACGCAGCCCTGAACTCTGGCCCTGAGCACACGGGTCATCCTAGGTTCTTCTTCGTCTAAAACAGTGTGTCCCAGAATATAGGATATGTACCACCAGTAGTATGAGAAATGACTTTAGGTGGTACGTGAATAGTTTTTATTTTAATAGCTTTTTATTACTGTCACGTGCAGTAGAAAAAACTGCAGTGGTGGTGCGCTTACAGCTCATTGCATCCTTGAATTCCTAGGCTCAAGCAATCCTCCTGCCTCAGCATTCCGAGTAGCTGGGACTACAGGCACGCATCACCACACCCAGCTAAGTTTTTAAAATTTTTGTGGATACCGTGTCTCGCTGTGTTGCCCAGGCTGGTCTCAAACTCCTGGCTTTAAGCGACCCTCCTGCCTTGGCCTCTCAAAGCACTGGGATTACAGACGTGAGCCAATTAAATACTAGTCCTTAACTGATTTAGGACTAGACCAGGTCAAACCCTCCAGCTTTCCATTTAAGTTTTTAACATCAAATTAATTCCAGTAATACAAGGATATAATAAAAATTATTGAGGGAGTATGCCAGTGACTGCTGGTGTAAAATTTAAATGTAGGAACTTCTGTTTTCAGGTTTAAAATGACTCCAGGTGTCAGACATCCCTGATCTTTGGCAAGAAGATGCTACTTTTAAACTAATCTGTGGTGAAGCAGAGAGAATACTGGGCTAGAAAACTGGACTCGTTTAGGCTGTGTGATCCTAAATAAGTCCATTCAGTAAAGTGTTATTTAGAACTTTCTAGGGCTGGGCTGTAACTGTCCGCGTCGCCTGTTGTCTATTCTCAACAGAGTGGTCCCTCTAGAACCTTCTAGATCATGTTGCTTCTCTGGTCACTACTGTCCAATGGCTTCTTATCTCACAAGGAACAAGTAATATAATCTCATCTCCTTTCACTCTTTCCCTTGCTCCCTACAGACACTCATTTCCCCACTGGCTGTGGAACACCCTAACCACTCTCCCAACTCTAGGCCTTTGCAGGAAGTCCACAGTTTTATGATTCTAGAACTATATTTGCCATGAGGCAGTTTTGGTGCAGCCTCTATAGTCGGATGCAGCAGGTGGCCCTGATATAGTTAAGGTCAGGACTTTATGCTCTTCTGGGAAGGGCACTGTACCGCAGCCTGTTGTTTTCTTTGTGTTAATGCTCCCTTTTGGAAACTGGCTCACTTGCAAATGGGCGCTCAGCGAGCACTTAACTCCCTGCAAAGGCAGAGGCCACTTCTCTCATTCCTACCAGTCCAGACTTTGGCTTCCAAGACCAACATAAGCCTCAGTTGTAGAGACATTCATTCTGCTCTCTCTGTCCAAGTAGCTCAAAAAATCCATCCCTCAAAATCTGTCAATACCTTCTAACAATGTTTACTGCTGTATTTATTGCCTTTGTTACTACTTGTTTTGCCAGTAAGAATATTTTCAAACCATTGATAATTCAACTAGCTTCTTATGTTAATTTGTTTTGTTTAGCAGAGGAGAATTTAAAAATTGGTACCCTGCCAATTAACCCATTGATTGCCTACTGCAGCATATGTAGAAGACAAATACTTCCTTTTGTAAGCTGGAATGTATGTCATATCTTTACAGTACTGTGAGAACTTAAGAATTCTCTTTAAAGTCATGAGTTTCTTTATAACTTTTAAAATATATAACAATTATAGCAGGTAGAGGTTTTTGATTACAGCACATTTTTATGTACAAATTTGGCAAATACAGAAAACCAGTAAGAAAATTAAATTCATCTGTAATACCATTACCCTGTGCTAACAGTTTTAACATTTGATTTATGTCATTCTACTTTTTTGTTTATATAGATATTAATATACTGTATTCCTTTTTTAAAACAAAATTAGAATTTTGCAAGCCTACATGTTTTTTTATTATTTAAACAATGTTTCACACATTTTCCATGTCATCGAGTATTCTTCTATAATATGTTAATGGCTACATTATATTTTATTGCATGTGTATATCATAATTCCTTGAATCTCTCATTGTTTGGCAGATATTTTTGCTGATATAAAAAAATGGGTATGTTTGTGGATACCTTCTTGTTCACCTTCTTAATTGTCTTCTTTGATCTCTTCTTGTTATATCACTAACAATATTTTAGAGGGCTTATTCCTTCTATCTTGACTGAGTTTGTTTCATCTTTACCAATTTGTTAGATTTCACATGGAATTTCACCATTTTAATTAACATTTTTTAGAGTTAAAAATGTGTTTATTAGCTATGTATAATTTTTTTCATGAATTGCCTAGCTTATTTGTGTCCTTTGCCCATTATGCTGGAAGGTTTAACTTCTTTTTTATTATTATTTTTATACAATTAAGGAGTACAGGTACACTTTTGTTACATGGATATGTTGTGTAGGGGTGAAGTCTGGGCTTTCAGTGTAACTATCACTGAAATAGTGTACATTGTACCCATTAGGTAATTTCTCATCCTTCACTCCACCTCCTACCCTCCCACCTTTTGGAGTCTCCAACGTCAGTTTTACCACTCTGAATACCCACGTGTATGTACTGTTTAGCTCGCACTTATAAGTGAGAACATGCAGTATTTGACTTTCTGTTATTTCGTTTAGGATAATGACTTCCACCTCCGTGCATGTTGCTTCAAAATACATGATTTCTTTTTTTATTTTTTTCAATCAGTTGCATAAAGTTTTGGGGGTTTTTTGTTTTTTGTTTTTTAATACTTTAAGTTCTAGGGTACATGTGCACAACGTGCAGGTTTGTTACATATGTATACATGTGCCATGTTGGTGTGCTGCACACATTAACTTGTCAACATGGGATCTAATTAAAACCTAAAGAGCTTCTGCACAGGCAAAAGAAACTACATCAGAGTGAACAGGCAAACCTACAGAGATGGAGGAAAAATTTTGCAAATCTACTCATCGTGACCATAAGGGCTAATATCAGGAACCTACAAGGAACTCAACAAATTTACAAGAAAAAAACAACACCCATCAAAAAGTGGGCAAGAGATATGAACAGACACTTCTCAAAGGAAGACATTCATACAGCCAACAGACACATGAAAAAATGCTCATCATAACTGGCCATCAGAGAAATGCAAATCAAAACCCACAATGAGATACCATCTCACACCAGTTAGAATGGGCATTAAAAATCAGGGAAACAACAGTGCTGGAGAGGATGTGGAGAACACTTTTACACTGTTGTGGGATTGTTAACTAGTTCAACCATTATGAAAAACAGTATGGCGATTCCTCAAGGATCTAGAACTAGAAGTACCATATGACCCAGCCATCCCATTACTGGGTATATATCCAAGGATTATAATCATGCTGCTATAAAGACACATGCACACGTATGTTTATTGCGGCACTATTCACAACAGCAAGAGACTTGGAATCAACCCAAATGTCCATCAGTGACTGACTAGATTAGAAAATGTGGCACATATACACACCATGGAATACTATGCAGCCATAGAAAAGGATGAGTTTTTGTCCTTTGTAGGACATGGATGCAGCTGGAAACCCATCATTCTCAGCAAACTATCGCAAGAACAGAAACCAAACACCACATGTTCCTCACTCATAGGTGGGAACAATGAGATCACTTGGACACAGGAGGGGAACATTACACACTGGGGCCTATTGTGGGAGGGGAAGGGAGGAGCGGGAGGGATACATTAGGAGATATACCTAATGTAAAG